GTTCCATATAGGTTTCATTAGGTACAAAAGAACCAGTTAGACTAGAATTCCAAAACAGCTTCTTATTTTATCGAAGAAGCAAAAATTTAAACATCAATTAAAGAAAATAAGCTCTTTATAACGTAATGGAAACACTGTTATTTTGTAAACATCTACGGTAGGTTCTTATACGATGGGTTTTACTGTATGTTAGCTTAGTCATTAATTTATTCAAATAATTTATCCTTCTCCATTTCGAATCTGGTAAATGATTCATCTTTTGTGAGAGGGAATGTCTTCCTTATTGCATGGTATGCACATGCAGCAGTGGGATTCTTGTTTTTCCAATTACACCATACACCATCCTTGTAAACTTTCTGTATGCCACACTATGTAAAAACCTAGAAGAAATGAACAACTTTATCATAAGTAATCGTATGCAGACAAATGCAAAAACTATTTCAATAAAATAGTATTTTATATTACAAAGAACAACCCAAACTATAATAGCTATATATAGAAACTATACATACATATAGTTCCTGATTTTGGTTACACCAACATTCATTTTTGAGATGTTGATGCTTATTGGAGACACTGGTCATGGAACAGTGTGTACCCCCATAAATATATCCCTGAAAGAGGATAAAGCTCTATACGTTGAACAGTCTGTTTAGTCTTTACATTTTTACACAAATTTTGGAAACAATAGACCTTACCATTTATTCACTATTGACCAAATGGCCTTGTTTCCATGTTTGCCTATTTTAGCATGGCAGGCGCACATGAAATTTAAATATTCATGTTTCCTGCACAAGTTTGTCTCTCATTGATCTTAAGTCCAATCACAATTAAGCTTATTCTTTACTCTCTTATACACAAAACATGAGTTTTAATATCACATGAAAACGAGGCCAATGGGTCAAAAGTAAATAAACGGTAAGGTCTATTGAGTTTCAATATAGGTAACTCTCCCATTAATGTTTAGTAACATTATCTGGTTTTTTAGACAGAGTAAGATAAATATGAGCACACTATTGAGACACAGTGCAGCTTCCAACATTCCTCTCAATGGTCTATCATTATCTAAGTGAAATATGAAACAAATGGTGTTCTGTAATTTTACTCTGCCTGATACTGCTGATTAGGGAAAGTCCATGAACATATAGTTCCGCATGTTCCTTTGTCAAATAAAATTGCCTGGTGTTAGAGAGATTTGTAGGTAGGGTGCATAGCAGCTTATTATTAAATGGTTAAATAGCAACATTCCAGCTCACAACAGCAATATATTTGCATTCTTGCCAATTACTCAAAAACTCCAGGCTACAATTTTCACATTTGCACCTAATATAAATTATGTAATATTGACAACATGAGTGGCCTTGCCATGCCATAAAATAATCTTTAACGTAAATATGTTTATTAAAATAGTATAGTATAGTATAGTATAGTATAGTATAGTATAGTTTAGCATAGTTTAGCATAGTATAAGCAAAATTTGCAACTTACCACTCATAAAGTTTTGCAGTTTCATGCAAAGTTAACGCTTCAATATCTCGTCTTTAATGATCTCGTTCGCCCTCATGTCCACTCCTCATCAGCGACGGGATCATCAACCCAAGCATAGCTGCATAGGCATGATATAAAGGCATCATCATCGCCTGAAACCAGATATATCGGCTTCTAAGCCTTCTATCCCTACATTTTGTCATATTCTGATAAATAATCGTTCCCTGATGCGAACAAAGAAGCCTCGGAAGATGCCTCCGTCGAAGACATTGCAAAAAGATATAAAAAACCGCGAATTATTCTTCGAAATTAAAGCTTCTTTGTAATGGTAAATGTATAGTGTTTACAAGGAGGCTTCGCATGAGTTCACCAATTGACGTCACACATTCCTCTCTCACCAGTCTCCCAAAACTTGGTTGTGGAACAAATGTGTGCAAACTTTGAGAAGCCATAGAATTGCGAGAATTCAACCGATTAAAAAAAATGTTTCCAGTTTTGTACTCCATAAATAGCGGTTATTTATTATATGAAAAAAAAAATTAGGGCGTTAGTGGCACTTTAAAGCAGAATTTGAGAGGGTACAAGAATCTTTGATTTGCAGGAAAATGGCAGCAGCCTACAAATCAAAGATTCTTACCAAAGTCATTAGCCTTTGCCATGAAAAAAAGAAGACTTCCCCAAGACTGTCATCAATTATAGATGACATGAATCACAGCATCAGGATGGAGCAAGAGAAGAAGTCTGGTAATTACCTTCCAAAATTTACAAATATTTGTTTATAGGGCCTGTTTATATGAGGCCGGTTACCAAGATTCGTACCAGATCTCTGCAAGCGCAAGCCAGCTTGCTTTGTTATATGAACGCAATGTCAATTTTTATAGAAAAAACAACTAACAAACAGCTCCTTGGTTAGTGATATGTCCCGGCCACCTGGATCATATGAACAGGGTCTAAAAAATGTAAACTGATCTAAATGTTCGTTATTAAACAATTACATGAAAAAATGTACAACGTTTCAAGCCCTGAATTATTTAGTATCTGTTTGTTAACATATTTTTTTAATTAAGTAAAATATATATAGAAGGATCCAGATATTTAAAGGCTACCTTCCAGTTACTTTTTATGAAAAAATCTAAATCCTTAGACCTGTATTCTTCATACTTGAAAAATATGTTGACAAACAGATACTTAATCATTACAAGAGAATAAGAAATGTATAATGAAATAATTAATAACCAACATTTAAATGTCGTAACCTTTTGCGGAGATGCAAACCTTACTCTAGGACAGTCAGGACTGTCATGAACATGTTACGAATCACAACAGAATTTTATGACTATATGGAGACCAGGCTTAAGTTCTGAAATGCAGTCTTCATGCATAATGACATGTCTTTGCAATTCATGGCAACAACTAGCAAAGAGAGCTTTGCAAGTGTGCTTGCTATGTTTTATATTAGAATTTTTTTAACAAAGCATTCTGGTAGTTGTGTGTATTCACAGCAATGAAACTTCACAATGCATATTATGTTCTATTACAGTATGATCTCAGAATAAGAAATCCACCAAAAATATTACATCATATAATAATGTTGCCATTCTGCATAGTACAACCAGCACTTTGTACATTGCTTCTTCATATAAGTCATATTATTCAAAATGGTCTAATTTTGTTTATTTTTTACCTTCTCTGCAGAAATTGAAGAGGATGGCTTTGTGATCCTGTTGCAAGCCCTCTTGAAAGAAAAAATGACTAGTGAAGGATCAGTCATTAAAATCTGCTCGGTATGGCTTTTACCAGTATTTCATCCATTCTTTTGATCTGTATTATAAAAGAAAAAAAATCTAAATAGAGCTCTAAGAAAGAAACAGTTACCGGTAGGCATCAAAAGGCTCATTTAAAGTGATTTCTCAATTCTCTACTGTAACAGTATATCAAATGATTACCTAATTGTCATATTTATACCAAAACCAGGTGTTTGTATATTTCAAAGGAATGACCTTTTTGGTAAATTATCTTTCCTACCTTTGACATAGGATAATGAATTAATTGATGATGCCATTGGCAATTCTGTTTCTCCGATGCTGGTTGGTGCTGGTGAATATGGGTCAATAACACCCTTATATTTGGCAGCTGAAGGGGAAACAATCACCGAGATTCCTAATACCAACCTAATTAATGGGTTGGTAATCCTGATTGCATTGTATTATGCATTCAATATAAGTTATCCGACGACGAAAGGGAGAAATTTCTTTGCCTTCATTGAGGCGACATTGTTGGATAACAGCGAGGATGCTAAAAAAAGGGTCAGTATAAATAAAATTTTAAAAGAAATGGACGATATGTAAAACAAGTGTGTTCTAGTACTGTTCTTTACTAGTCAATCTATGTTGTTCTAACATTTTCACAATAATTTTGTATGTACCGGTACATAATTTTTATTCTGTGTAAAAGTTGAAAGCCCAGGGCTGGTTGTATCAAGGACGTTTAGCTTAAACTATCAAACAAATCTATGAACTATAGACTACAATCAAACTAATATTTTCTGTCCAAACATAACAACCATGCATTGAACTACACATTTAGTTGATAAAATTGAAGTTCAATTTTTTACAAAATGAATAGGAATGTTTTGAAATTTTTGCTTATCCACCATTTAAGCTAAATGGCTTTGAAACAACCGGCTCCTGGTTATCTTAATATAAGCAAAATCTTGTTTTATCAAATTATCCATTGTTAGATGGCATGCAAAATAACAACACAGCATTGCCAACAACTTGTATTCTTGTTGGAATTTCCTATATTGAGCACTTACTATATTTCACTCTGTCTAACAATTTGGAACTAATTTGATAATGTTTTGATAGATATTTTCAACGTTAAATTTCATTAAAGTTAAAATATAAACTGGTTATAATATTAATACCTTGTATACTATATTCACAATATTCCGAGGACTATAGTTGTTGTGCAGGTATTTTCATCGTTTGTCAACTCGTAACTTGTTTTAGTCTTTCAGAAAGCAATGATATATCTCAGAACACAAGACTTTATATGACAATTTCGATATATTTTTATTGCAAATGAAACAAAAATATCAAGCAAACTTTGATTGTATCCATGTATGTGATTCATTGACTTTAATAGTAAGTTGTATACTTCTGTGTATGTGCATGTGCATTTATGGATAGCGTGCTACAATAACATGGTTGTACTGTAATTCCTTCGCAGTTGCCAGTTGCTATGCAACCAACACATCGATATTTTAATATATTGATCCTCGAAGGAAATGTTTCTTAAAAGACGATAGCATAAAGATATAAATGGACCATTTCGCAATGTAAGTTTCTGACATTCGAAGAAATAATTTTTTTAACCCCTGAAATGGAGTTAGATTTATTTAACTCCCAATGAGTGTTATTTTAACTCCAAAACTGGGGTTAAATTTTAACACCCTAATTGGTGTTATTTGTAACCCCCCAAAAGGATTATTTTAGACTAAACGTCGTAATCCCTCTTTTTGGTGTTAAAATAACACCCCAAAAATAACAGTGCATCTGCATTCCTGATAAAAATTGAATATCAAAGTGAACATGGGGCCTGGGGGGTGAGGACGATGCTGCATTCCAAATGTCCGCAATTTCTGGCGATGATCTAGACTTGCCAGAAGTTGACCATGGGGGAGGAAGGTCGCGGGGGAGGAAGTGTGCGACCCGAGCGACGAAGTCGCAAGTGGTCAACTTGTGTTGCATGCAGGAAATTAAATTGCATTAAAAATTTTGGCGTGAATAATGTTGACATAAATAGGGTGTGTACATTTCATACAATTACTTCACTGTGCCGACAATGGGTCTACAAAAACACAAAAACATTCTCAATAATTGGATATTTCTTTCTCCTCGATTGAAACAGTTTGCACCAGTGGCGGCGGAACAGGGGGGCTAAAGCCCCCCCAGAAGTAAAAGTGGGCCCCCCCCCCAGAAAATTTTGTTTTCTCTGGAAAAATTTTGATAATTAAGGAAAAATGTAGGTTATTTTTTGAAAATTTAGGTATAATGGGAAAAATTTGGGATATTTTGTTAAAATTTTTTGTTATAGGTCCGGAAAAATTTTTTTCATCCCTTTTCTTGTATATGTCTGGAAAAATTTTTCCACCCCTAAAATGGTACACTGACCGAAATTTTTTTGGCAACGGGGGTGGGGGGTGGGGGTCACGGAAAATTTAGCCCCCCCAAACTGAAATCCGTTCCGCCGCCCCTGGACTTTGCACCGAGTGTGGAAACGAAATAACTGACCCAAGTAAGGGCCGAAAGCTGTTCAATGTATCAACAAGAACAAGTGCATGTAAAACTTATTGAATCTGGACAGTTGTTTGTCCAACAATGTTTGCCGTAATTGTGTCGACAAGAATAGTAATTTATTAGACTTACTATAGAAAGTTGACTCAGTTCGCTAGCGATTTAACGTAGTAGAAGACGAGAAGTTAATCTAATTGGAAAGAATCAGACAACTGTAACCGAGAAGCAGATTGTCATCAACAAGAAGACGTCCCTAGAGTTAAAAATCCAGTAAAAATATGTGTTGTTTTCTCAACAAACGAATTTGTAATAATCAGTAATCGAGATCAAGAAACCCAAACTAAACCCGAAGCTATAGTGAGTTTAGAATCATCAGATGCATCTTCGGTGATAGTATTAAAGTTTAATTCTGCACCCTGTACTTTATACTAAATGTAATGTTTGTTTGTGTATTTTCACATGGTTTTTGTGTTTTACAAAATTGTATTTACATTGCTTACTCCATTTGCTTCAATAATACACATTTGTTCAACAAAAGCCTGAGAATATAATATTAATTTTAGACTCCTTCGATAATGACCAATAATGTAAACCGCTTCGCCCTTCAATGTAAACAATGACGTCACCGGTGGATATTTCCACTGGTGATATTTGGCGCACTGCAAGTGACAAAATTCCTTTCCACAGCGGAAGTGAAGCGCATCATAGAAGGGTCTGCAAAGGACTTTGGAAAGTCTAGTGATGATCAAGAACTTTTTAAACCAGTATTTGTCCATAATGATTTGTTTACAGTTACATCAGAAGAATTTTTGGAGGAATTACAAGTTATCTATAGTGAGAAACAAGTGGAGAAAATGGCAGAGGAAACAACTTTCAAGCACTTTTGTGATCTTGTTGAGTATCTCTACCACATTGGCAAGTATATAAAAAATATTTAGGAAACATACAATATACTGTTTCTTTTCATAACCTGCCATCAAACTTTGTATTCACAACCAATAACAATTTTAAAAATATAATAATTTTCACAAAATATAGTTTTGATCCCACTCACTAAAACTAGTCACTATGACTGGTCTATGTAAAAAAAAACAAACAAATAATGCCCTCCTGGCTTAGCAGCCATCAGATTTATTACTTCCAGAAACTCAGTATAGAATTATATTAATTATGTTTTATGCAAGTCTATATATAATTTTAGTATTTTTGCACAAGTGAATATAACAAATCCTACAAGTTGATTGGTCAAATTTGACGTATTAAAATTCACCTACAGGTGAATATAACAAAACCGAAATTTGCAAAGTGGTGGCTAGCCGCTTTGTGGAAGTTACTGAAAATAAATAAGCCAAATTAAAATAAATTCAGTCCCGAAAAAGACACAAAAGACTTGTGTAAAAATACTAAAACAATTGTTCGCCTGAGGCTCAGTGATTATCGCGGAATATTCACCTCGACTTCGTTGCGGTGAATATTCCCTGATAATCACTTCGGCGAATAATTGTTAAATGTATGTACAAGATAGGCTAGGTTGCTTTATTAAATTGCTTACTAACACCACACTATGTGTATATTTTAGGAATAGAAGAGCACAATTTGAGGTTGAGAGTTCTGATGAGATTTATCACCAGGCCATTCCAGCTACCCCCCACTTGGTCTTCCAGGAGCAATTGAGGTCAAGTTCGTTCATGGCTATATCTTTCATTCATGACTTAAATTTTGATTGACATAAATATCAATTATTCCACAAACATTTAAATAAAGCAACTTGCCATGTTCATTATCTTCATCCAATGGGTTTACTAATGTTTGCAGCGAAGCCCATTGTTCTCTTGTAAGTGCAATATCAGATTTTGGAACCACAACATTATTTTCTGTCTGGACTTCAGGCAGTGGACCTTCATCATCAACTCCATATGTATTATTGTCTAATGTGTTTGGATTGACCAGATCTCTGACAGTACGACGATTGGAGTTAGCAAACTCATAGAAACCTTGAACCCATACTTGATAAGGACTTAAGTTGCTTTCAGTTGACAGTGGATGGTTATTCCACTGCGACATGAAAATTAATATTGCTTTGTTAATCCGGGGTTCAAAAACATAGTGCAAGGCAAAAAGGTGAATTTCATTTAAAGGATCTAACAGATCAAGTGATTCCAAGTAATAAAAAAAAGTCTCCAGTGTGTCTGGACAGTGTTGTGTTAATATAAAAGCATATTTATCCTTGTCGTAGAACTTCTTTTTTTGTACTTTGTCAAAAACATAGTGCAAGGCAGAAAGGTGAATTTCATTTAAAGGATCTAACAGATCAAGTGATTCCAAGTAATAAAAAAAATTACGAAAATAAGTGGTAATATAGGTATTGACATCTTTCCACAGCCTCTCGATTCTTTGATTGTGCATTGAAAGACCTGTCAAGAATGGTTTCGAAGCAACACCATAGTGGTTAAGCATCAACCTAGCAACAGTAACATTTTCTGTTCCATGGTCAGCCCGGATTCTAAGTGGGCATTGGAAGTGTCCATAGACTTGAGGAATAGATTGAACACAGTTTGACTTCTGTTGTTGCATGAACAGGCTAAAAAGACAATACATCGTGAATAACCATCAATGCCACCATGAAGGACAAATATCCACCGGATCACTTTGTTGTTGCCATCAATGTGCCTAGAAAAGGATATCACAAAAGAGTTACGAAAGGCAAAGTGGTTTAACTGAGTGGGCTATTATAATGTGCCACCTGACCATCATATATGACATTACTCTTTTACACATTCAGAAATGTGTGATGTATGAATAAATCTCTACTTTCTGGTCGTAGCCAGTGCATCCCTGTCCAGCTGTCCTTGCCTAAAGCTGCATAGGATGCCGGCCGGCATTAGGATGATTCAAAGGGTGAAGGATTAAACTTGAATTGCTCCATTATTGGCCAAGTATAACTCGTGTATCAGTCAATTCCAGCAGTGCCCTCCCCCCGGTCTTTGCAGCTTTCCTAATCCCAGAGGTGGGGCTATTGCAGAAATGTTTCAGCCTGGGTATGAGGACTTAGACATTTTCCATCATGGCAATTGGCTTAATACTCATTCTTTGGGACGGTCTGTCAGTACCATTGTCTTTGATCATTGATGAGTAAAATACTTTGTCTACATGAAATAGTTTTCCTCTTTCAAAGCACAATGATCACTATAAAAAAAATATTTATGAGTGCATCGCGGACCATTAGCGACATACGAAACCTGGCTAAGGTGCACACACACCAGACAGACGCAATCAAAGTTATTGGTCAGTGAAAATCAAAAGATTGCATCACATTGTCGAATTGTCTCCGGTGTGTCTGGACAGTGTTGTGTTAATATAAAAGCATATTTATCCTTGTCATAGAACTTCTTTTTTGTACTTTGCATTTATATTGTCCACAGGCATAGAATTATAACGTGCAAATCAATGTGTACTAAACAGTCACTATTATTTTTCACCCGGCTCGGTTTCCTTTGTTCTTGTCGAGGAATATATTCAATATTCCCCTCTAACCAATTTCCGTTTAATAATCCCCTTTAATATTCACCTGCAATTAATAATCCCCTCTAATATTCACCTGCAATGTCTTTGCAGCACAAAAAATGAGAAAAAACAACATTGCGAAGGCAATATGGCATTAAGAATTATTTCTTTTCTGACTCATTAACGTGACCTCGCAGTGTGAAAAATAAGTACGTTATTTTGAGGCACCTCGGGGATATGTGTTTATTCACCTCGGCGCTGTGCGCCTCGGTGAATAAATCACATATCCCCTCGTTGCCTCAAAATAACCTATACTTATTGCCTGGGGGTGGGGGAAAAGACTCGATTTTTTGCCCAGGGGTGGGGCTTTAATACAGTTCTTGGGGACATTTTCTTTTCAGAAATGGCTAATTCCCCAAGGGAGGGGGGTGTAATAACCTGACGTCATTACTTATGTGACGTCACTTGTATATAGCTAGCATTCCATGGATATTAAATTTAGTATTGTTATAATCACTCAAAGAGTGTGTCTCGTATTATCCTACTATAAGAATACCTCATTTTTTATTGTTTTTCTAAAAAGTACTGCTGGAGTGATGAAGAATGACGTTTACAGTTTCGTCATATCTCATCTCAATCTCAAGTTATCGCACTTTCTATATTTTGAGTTGTAATGTCACAGGTATGACTTGAGATAATGGCAATAACAAGAAACTATGATATCTTGGTGAGTATTTAATAAAGTTCAATGAAACTTGGTGCACTTAGTTTCAATTAATCTCACTGTGTAAGTATTATTATTATTTACTGACTTTATTATTTACAGGTTACAGTGGGTGCTCAGGGCAAAAGCCAAGCCCCTGTATTAAATAGCCTCCTTGAAATTTAGTATCACATATTTGCATATAGTATATGTATTCCTATTATCATTTAGCAGTATCCAACAGTCCTTGTTATTGACTTGGCAATTGCTGAAGTAAATGCCAAGGTGTGTTGAGAATGTTCAACTTGCCTTGGCAAAAAATCCAGATTTTTGCTGAGGCAAAAAAGGCAAAAAGGGATTACAAGGGCTGTGCAAATAAAGCCTAGGTTTTAAATTGTCTGTTGTTTTGTTTCAGCTGATTTGTTGGCTGTTCGTAGTGTCCCTAGTTTGTCATCATTGACATTTATCAGAAAAACCAAAGAGCAAACCAATAGTTGCTGGGACAAAGCCTAAGGGACTAAAAATACAAGGAATATAAGGAACATAGACTGCGAGCAGTCCCTCCTTTCTGCAGGTTTAGATTTCCAGTCATGCGAAAGGAAAGGAGGGACTGCAGACAACACATCAAGAAATTAAATCCGTGTTGCTCCCACAACGCAAAATTCCCATTGGTTGAAATTGATACGCCTGTCAATCAAATCTGATAACGTAGTAATTATGCTATAAATATACTTTCCAGAGTGAATGTTGATTTTATACAGGGTGTGTCAAAACAACGTAATCGAACTTCAGCACGCTATTGTGTCTGAATTATGCACATATCAACGGCCTGCCCGGGGGGTACACCCCCGGGACAACCGGGGGGATATGGGGGGGAATTTGGTATTTTATCCGTGTATTCTGCCCGTGAACCCCGGGGAAATTACAAACTTTGCAATAATAGGACGACGGGGGGCGGGGAAGTAGGGGACTTTGACTTGGCAATTTGAATTGTATAAATGAAGTGCACAGTAATGGTGCGAACTCAAAATCGCAGGCTCACAAAGAAAAATATCGATCGCCAAGATGTCGTCGGAAAACAAGGTGAGGATTTTTAATTTTTTTATTTTAAATCCGTAGTTTTACTGTATTACTATTGAGCATCAAACTCCAATCCATATGGATTTACTTTCCGCTTGAACGCCCCTCATCAACAAATGTATTATTCATGATATTTTGTAGTGGTCTTGCTAAAATTTGAATAAATAAATACAGAACACTTGAGTGCCATTGTGATCACGTTTGTATGATAATTTTTAATTGTTTGTATGCTACTTTATATTAAAAGCCAAAACCATTTAAAGTTTGGAATGCCAAACGGGAGAAAAAAGTGTCCATGGTGGCCAGATCAGTAAAGGAAATTGTTGGGAAAGGTAAAATATTTTGCACATGGTCAATGATTGTATTGTTATATATTTTGCATTTATATTTGCTCTCAAATATTTAATTATTCCAGTTACAGTATCTATGCACTGAGTTTATTTATAATATAAAACACCATAAATAAATTTAAAATGTGAAAAATTTTATTCATAAAAAATAAAACATGTATGCCCTATTAAAATCAGCACATACTGTATTTGTTTAATACAAACTTGCACTGTAAGTGGAAGAGAAGTAAAGACACGCCTTGTGCCTATTTCAGGTTTTATTGTCAAGGCATGTTCACTGGTCAGATTTAATATTCTGTCTATATAATTTCTGATCCTCCTCTTCACTCATGACAGATGTGATCCATTGGATTAGTGGACAACAGTATTATTAGGCTGTTGTTTCATACTTGGAAAAATGTGTAACTGTTGCTGTATTATGTGATTTTAATCATATTTATAATAGAAGGGAGAATGGGTCATTCCAGAAAACATCCATACCACCCCCACAAAGGAAATAGGGAGTTAACCCCCCCTACCCCCTTCGGATGTCCTAATACATTTACTATTATCAGAAATTTCCTCCGTGGGGGGAGTGTGGATCTTTTCTGGAACGACCCAATACAATATATTCACTCAAGCAATATACAGTACAGTGCATGCAAATATATATATTTTGGACCATTTTCAAGGTCAAAATTTTTATTGTAGATTTCTTGTATTTGATAATGTTGTGCATAATTCAGTTGCCATATATTAAAGATCGGTCCTTCTATTTCAGGGGCTGTAAAACTGGGGTTTTCAGGTGAAAACACAGCCATATACACACTGGTGTTGGAATCAGATGGGACAGAAGTTGATGAAGAATATTTTCTTTTTGTTGAATCAAATACAACGCTCATTCTCCTTCGACCAGGAGAAAAATGGGAGCAGTTCCATCAAGGTATATGAAAGCATGATGAAGTTATCAGTGTATAATGATTTACTATGATATTAAGAATGTTACCCTCTTTAAATATAAAACTTTTTATTATTATAACAAGATGCCTGCTCAGGCGTTTGCAATGGCCGAAAAATGACAGCATGCAGGGTTCCCAATAGAATTTGGAGTAGGAGGCTTTTCGAAAGAAGTAAACGGCTATGCGGTGCCGAAGGTACCTCACCGAGGAGGTTTCGAGGGCATCTTCCTGTGAAGATTTTTTTTAACTTTAGATTTTTGCCGTCTATGGTGTAGACAATCACTGGCTATTTCTTCAGATTATAAACCAAAGTATTTCCTCCTTACCAATGAAATGCTTTACAGTTTTTAACTTACCTTATATTCTGTTATTTGTTGTGATTTTGGAGCCGTTGTGCTCGCACTGATTATTTATCAATTATCAGGATTTAATATCGAAATACTCGATTTTTATATACTCAAACTGAAACGGAGCCATTGTGCCCATATAGTTTTTCAAAACTTCAAAACTACTGTACTGCACATTTTGTAAATAACATGAAATATAAATATCAAACAAAATTTGAATTATAAATAGTATTTATACATACTATTGAAATGTAATACAATGAAATAGCAACCATTGTGAAGTATGCATAAGATTCAATATAGTGTAAATTAACTCATTTCAATCGCTCAAACGTCAAAATGACTAATAATAATTTTCAATCGATTATAGTAATTCACCTTTAAAAAGTTACAATAAAGCTAAATCTAAAGGAATTAACGTTACTTAGCTATAAATTTGTAAAGGAAATCTAACAGTTAATCACTTTTGATATAACCTTGACCTTAATAATGTTATTATTACCGTCACTTGCAACTAACTATTAACGATGGCTTATAAAAAAATATTGCCTATTCGTGTGTTTCTGCTGGGGTCTACACCGTAGGCTAATTCGCGAAAGAATCTTAAGTTTTCTTATTTTGACATAATAGCTATTTTTCAATAAATATATTGATTTTAAACTTATTGAATCAATATTTTAAGTTGTACCAAAGGTTATAAGCGCTATAGCGCATCATATTAAAGTTTCAGATGGCATGCAACATGTACGCACTGCGTACCTATTTTTTAACTTGCTATAGACTTGTATGTGCATGTAGTAATTGATGTACCAGTACATGAATGTACCATCCAGGTCTATATATAGGAAGTTAGGAACTTGCCTATACGTTACATATAGAAAACTTTTTTCCAACCAGCTGTAGGTCAAAAATTGGACAAGGTCAACGAAGTTTTATCATGTGAATCAAAGTCTTCAACAAGGACTGGCCAACGAACTCTTATAGTATCAAACAACAGTTTGCAGCTTGGGGGTGAAATAGAGGTATAATTTATAACCTTCACTTTAATTTTAGTGTAATCAGAGGCCACAGAAGTGGTCGAAAAGTTGTGGAGGACACTGATACAGTAAAAAAGGCACTTTTGAATACGAATAAAATTAATGAGATACCATTGTTACCATGCTCTGTACTACATAGCGAAACACATGAAATGAAATAATTCAAAGATTGACATACATGAAAGTTTAATAAAATCCTAGTATATTACTTCTTGTATGGGTCGTTTCACATAGAATAGTTTCACTTCAACAACAAATCTTACATGTATGAATCCCATGACAGGGGATTTTCATGTGATCTAAATCGTGCACACATGTGTTTCACAGTTTTGTAAAACGAACAGATATCCAGATCAAACTTCTTAGTTGTTGTTTCTTTCCTAAGGCTGTTCATAAAGAATCTCCAACAGCAAATGTAAAAATTGAGCTTTCCAAGTTAGCTGAAGAAAGCACCATTTTCAAGTGTCCCAATCCAACAAGCTACATGAAGAAGGTGAACGATGCTAGCATGCAACTTGCCAAAGAAGATGTTAAGCTTTTACAGAAAAAGGGAGAGTTATTTGAGCTTGCTAAAAAAAGGGTTCACGAGATGGGGTATTCATATGCTAAGCGTTCCTCAAGATCAAAAGTGTTTGGCAACTGCAGTTCTGAATCCTCGACAGTAAGTACCAAGAGGAAGTATATTTCCACCACTGCACGAGAAGAACGTATTGACGAACTATCAGAATCTGTAAAATCTGTTTCGGAGACCATTCAGCTGCTACTAAAGCAAAAAGAACAGTATGCCAATGTAAATAAGTTCCAGCAAGCTGCAGATGTCAATGCATCTATAATGGAGAAAATGAGCGAAAAACGGAAGTTAGAGAAGGAGTTGAGAGCTTTACAGGAAGCAAGAGAAAAGTCCAGAAATTACAAAAAGAAAAAGAGTTCTCACAGCCTCAGAAAAGGTAATTCCGATTCACAGAATCAAAGGCAACTATCTTGGAGTGAAAGCAGCAAGTCACATAGCAGTGAAAAAAGTGGAGAGAGTAGTGGTGGTGATACCGTTGTATTGTCGGATAGCGAGTTGATTCCAAAAAATGATCAAGTCATAACAGTAGAAGATGGCTCAAATGAGGAACCAGAAAACCAGTTGGACAATAATGCTCGTGACGCCTCCAGCTTGAAGAAACAGGTTGGGGCAATTATTGCAGCCTACAGTGAAATCGTTGAAGAGTCTACCAAGGTGCCAGAAAATTCATGTGCCAAAACTGCTGAACAGCCACAAAATTTTTGAAACGGGCCAAAGTAGGATGCTCTAACCCTACTTTGGTAAATGAAAAACAAAGAACTCCATTAGATATGTGTTATTTGAAGTATAAAAAATACAGTGATGTTAAGTTAAGTGATAACTACAAACTTGGTAAAATTTATGTTTCCCATATTAAGGACATGACGCTGGAGGAATTTGTTGAAGCGCGACAAATTCATTGTGGTTTACAAAGACACTCATCGGATTGTTATTGTAATTCACTAATTGAAGCTGCAAAAGAAATTATTAGTGGTGGAATTTGTCCACTCGCGTTACTCTATAAGACACGATTTAATCAACAATACAAGACTGACAAAGCTGTTCAACAACTCATGCAATTGCCTGTTGTAATATTTCCTATCAAAACTAAATTATACGTAACAAGATACAGTAGTGGAACAAACTACGACAAATTTATTGAGTTATTGGAGAATTTAGTGCCTGATAGTAAATGCGAGAGTATAAATAAGGAAGAACTCAAACTTTTATGCAGTTTAGCTACCAATGAAAAAGATAAGAAATTAATCAGAGTTGCAGCTAGTTCGCATCTTTCAGCTACGCAATCTAAGGCCAAATTAGGAATAGACGATATAAATTCCGAAAGAGAGGCAGTGTATGCAGCTGTTAAAGA